CTCCTCGACTCCACCGTGCGCATCTTCTTCGCCGACTCCCTCAAGTTCTTCCTCTCCCTCTACGGCCACAAGCTGCCCGTCCTGTCCATGGACATCTCCTCGGGTGGGTGGCCGGCCGGGCAGGCAGGCAGGAGTGTGTGTGTGTGTGGTGGGTGGGTGTTGGGGGGGTGAGGCAAAGGCTCCCTCCCGGTGGCGGGCAGGTGCAGGCGTATGCCCGGCTCAGCGCTCGCCGGCAGAGGCACTGACTCCTGCCGGCACGCCCCCTGCCAGCATTCACCGAACCGCTGCCAGCCCTCTCCCGCCTTCCCCTGCCTGCCCGCCCGCCCACAGACTCCACGCTGCTGGTGACTGGGTCGGCGGACAAGAACATCAAGATCTGGGGGCTGGACTTTGGGGACTGCCACCGCTCGCTGTTTGCCCACGGCGACAGCGTCATGGCGGTCGCCTTTGTGCCCAACACGCACTACCTCTTCACCGCGGGTGCGCTTCGGGGGGGGCCTTGATGTGCTGGGTGGCTTGGCTTGCCTCAGGGCGGACGCGGGGCGCCTGTGCTTTGTTGCCAGCCCTGCCCTCGCCTTCAGCACCTCCTTCCCACGCTCGCCTCACCACCACCACCACCACCACCACCACCGCCACACACATACACGCATCATTTATCCCGTCCTTCCCCCGCCTGCCCGCAGGCAAGGACCGGCTGATCAAGTATTGGGATGTGGACAAGTTTGAGCAGCTGCTGACGCTGGAGGGGCACTGCGCAGAGGTGGGCGTGATGCGGTGGGGGAGAGCGTAGGGTCCTGTGGCGCCCGCTGGCGCCCTGTTCTCTGCGCTGCCGTGCATCCTGCTGGTGCACCGCACCCCCCCCACACACACCAACACTCACACCCCACTCTTTGCCCGCAGGTCTGGTGCCTGGCTGTGGGCAGCCTGGGTGACCTGCTGGTCAGCGGCAGCCACGACCGCAGCCTGCGGCGCTGGGAGCGCACCGACGAGCCTTTCTTTGTGGAGGAGGAGAAGGAGAGGCGGCTGGAGTCGCTGTTTGAGGGGGACCTGGAGGTGGGTGGGGGGGGGCGGGCGGCTGAGGGGCGGCAAAGACACAGGGGGCGGCGGGGTGGCAGGCAGACTCCTGTGGGGCCGGCCGCTCGCCGAACCTGCCGATGTGCTCTGCATTGCACGCCTGTTCCGCGCACCCCTCGCACCTGCTGCCCTCGCCTTCCACCCACGCTCGCCAAGTAACCCGCCGCCTGCAGGCCGCCGACCGCGCGCCGTTGGGGCAGGAGGACCCCGGAGAGGAGGGCGCCGTGGGCACCGCTGGGCGCAAGACGCTGGAGACTGTGACCGCCGCCGACGACATCATTGAGGCTCTGGACCTGGCGACGGACGAGGAGGAGCGGGGGCGGGAGTACGAGCAGGTGGGGGGTGGTTTGGGAAGTCAGGCGGGCATCTGCAGGTTGAGGGTTGGTGAGGGCATAGGGGCGGCGCATGCGGGCTGCTGGGCAGGCGCAGGGATGGGTGAGTGGGCTTGGTGAGCAAGGGGCGCCTCACCGGCTGAGTGGAGCAGGGATCGTGGGAGCGCGAGCGGGCCTCACCACACCCTCCACCCCCCCTCGGCACCTCCGCCTCCCTCCTGCAGGAGAAGGCGTCCAACCCCAAGGCCAAGCCGCCCGTGCCCAACCCGCTGCTGCTGGGCCTGAGCCCCAGCGCCTATCTGCTGCGGGTGGTGGGCCGCGTGCGCAGCAGCGAGCTGGAGCAGGCGCTGCTGCTGCTGCCCTTCACCGACGCGTTGCACCTGCTGGGCTACATCGTGGGCTGGCTGCGCGTGGGCACGCAGGTGGGTGAGCAGGGGAGCAGCCAGGGCAGAGCGGGGAGGTGCTGGGGAGGAGGTGCGGCAGGGCTTGGTGTGGTGTGTGCAGACCCGTGGGCGCCAGGGTCGCCACCTAGGAAAAGGCAGGGCCGGTGCTGACCGGCCTAGCCCCCTGCTCCCCCTCCTTTTCCTCTCCGGCTGGGCTGCAGGTGGAGCTGCTGTGCCGCGTGGCCACGCTGCTGCAGCGCCTGCACATGCAGCAGCTGGTGGGGACGCCCAGCGCCAAGCCGCTGCTCATCGAGCTGCAGCAGCTGCTGCGGCAGCGGGTGCAGGAGGCCAAGGACATGATGGGCTACAACCTGGCGGCCATGGAGCACCTGCAGCGCAGCCTGCGGGAGCGGCAGGCGCTGCCACCCGCCGCCGCCGCCGCCACCGCCGCCGCCGCCGTGCTGCCGCTCAAGCGCAAGGTGGCAGAGGCGGCGGGGCCGCGGTGACGACGCGGCCGCGGCTGCTTGGATGCGTCCCTTGTGTGTTGTGTGTAACATCCAGTGACAGCAGGACGCAGAAACGGTTCATTGTTGGGGTAGGCACGGCGGCAGCGGCGACAGGTGGCGGCGACAGCTGGGCACCCACCGACAACTCTTCCCGGCCCCCTTGGATTGCAATTTTCTAGTCCGGCTTGCCTTCAATTGGGCTCTCGATTGGCCCCAGCCGCCCTGCAATGAAGGTTGAACCGTAACCGCATCGCACAAGACATTTGCCGACCTCCCCCATGGAGCGGTGGGACCACGCGTCATTGCTGGCTGCGGGCAGTAGCCCCTCAAGGGCAGCCGCTGCGCCGCTGGAGGACCAGCCATGGGGCACCGACTTTCAGAAGCACCAGTCGGAGCCCAGCGAGCCCGACTCGCCCCCAGGCGAGGGCTGGGCGCTGCTGGACGCCCGCACGTTTCGCACCCAACTGGAGCCCTCGGTGCGCCACTCGGGCTGGCTGCTCAAGGCCAGCGGTGCCGGCCCGCACCGCCAGTGGCGGCGCCGCTACGTCTATGTCTCGGCCGACCGCCTGTGCTACACCCCCGATCCTGACGCCGACAGCGGCCTGTGCCCCGTACGCTACCTGCCCTTGGACCGCATCCCCGTGCGCGCCCTGCCACGCGGCTACGGCCCCAAGCTGGGCGTCACTCTGGTGGAAGACCGCCAGGCGCGCCAGGCGGTGGTGCCCTGCTGCCGTGTGCCCTGGGCTGTCAGTATGCTGCTTCATGAGTACGTGGAGTCGATGGAAGGAGCAGCCCACTTCCATGAGAACATGGACTCCAGCTGCATGCATGCCCTCACCATGCGGAGACCAGCCCTCCCAGGGACTGAAGTCGTGCAGGCACCCAGCCACCCTCTCCACCCCTCTCTTCCGCGCAGGACCGCTCCAGCGCCCAGTTCAGCCCCAAGAAGGCGGGCTGCGTGTTCAGCGTGGCCTGCGGCGCGCACACACACTTCTTTGCGGCACCCTCAGCCGCAGACGCCAAGGTGAGTGGGGCGCCCTGGCAAGGCACGCTCGTCTGCCTCTGCCTGCCAGCCACGCCTGCGCCATGCCAGCGCCAGTCAACACCTTGTAAAACTTCTGCCCCTTCTGCCCCTGCTGCAACACAAAGGCGTGGGTGGCGGCCATCACCGAGCAATGGTTGAGCTGTGCCAATCACTCGGCGCGCGTGGAGCGCAGCCCCTCGCCGGAGGAGCACCTGGTGCTCAAGGAGGCGCGGTGGCAGGCGGAGAGCCAGGCGCTGCGCCGCTCGCTGGCAGAGGCGGAGCAGCAGCGGCTCAGGGAGTCCACAGCGCAGTGGCAGGCCGCGGCGGCCGCCGCCACGGCGGAGACTGTGCAGCAGGAGGTGCGGGGCAGGGCGGATGCCGCACCCTCTGGAGCTGCTGCTAGATTGCACAGAATCGCTCACCCTGCTGCTGCTCCGAGCGCTACCTACCACCAGTGCTGCCATGCGCCGTGCGCCGCCCATCCCAAGCTGCCACGCTACCCGTCGCTGCAGGGCCTGCCGGTGGTGTGTTACGAGATCGAAGTGGTGACAGGCAGCCAGCCGGAGGCGGGCACCAGCGCCCGAGTGTACCTGGAGCTGTGCGGGGAGGGAGGCACTTCGGGGGACCACCGGCTGATGTACCGCCAGGGCAGCACCGGCGCGCCGTCCCGTACCGCCTTTGCGTCGGGGGCGGTCGACAGGTTCAAGCTGCACTGCCAGCCTCTGGGCGAGCTGGTGAAGGTGGGTGGCTGTGGTGGAGGGGTAGGGCACAGGTGGAACGGGTATGGGCAAGGGGCCACCACAGCGGCCGCTCCTGCCTGGCTCTTCTTCCCCCTGGTGTGGCCCTTCCTGAGTCGCGCATCAGATGCTGCCTGGCTTCACCCCCACCGCAGGTGCGTGTGTACCACAACAACGGCGGCCCCTCCCCCGCCTGGTTTCTGGAGGAGGTGCGGGTGCGGCGCCAGGGCGGCCACCGCTGGACACACTTCCCCTGCCGCCGCTGGCTGGCTGTGGACCAGGACGACAGGTGGGCACTTCCCCTGCCGCCCCTGCCGCTGCACGCGAGGGCGCGTGCTTGGCCCCGGGAGCAGTGCAGTGGTGGGCGAAGGAAGTGGCATGGCCTGGCTGGTGTGTTGCTGCTGGATGTGCGACGATGACTCCTGTTGTTTATTCTCTCCTCTGGATGCTGCAGCCGCGTGCTGCGGGAGCTGTTCAGCTCTGCCATCCAGGCCCTCGCCTCCCCGCCCCAGCCGGGGGCCCCACCGGCCGCCCCTCCAGCACGGCAGGCGCAGCAGGAGGAGGCGCCCCCCGCCCGGAGGGTGGTGCAGCCAGTCTGGTACACTGTGGTGGTGTGCACCAGCGGAAAGGAGGGTGCAGGGATGGCGCCTGAGGAGGGCGCGGCGGTGTTCCTGGTGCTACACGGCAGCCGCGGCAGCAGCACGCGCTTGAAGCTGCCGTCACAGGCGGGCGACTTTGCGCGGGGGCAGGAGGATGTGTTCAGGTGCGAGAGCGGCGCCTGCCGCTCCCCACAGCATGCCTGACACAGCCAGGATTGTCGCGAGTGGTCTGCTCCATGATTTCTCTGCTCACAGTGTGGAGTGCATGGACGCACTCGTGGTGTTGCAGGGTGCAGCTGCCGTGTGTGGGCGCCCTGGAGAAGCTGGGGGTGGGGCTGAGCAGCAGCGGCGAGCAGGCGTGCTGGCTGCTGGAGCAGGTGGAGGTGACGGATGAGTGCACAGGTGGGCCGCCCTGGTTGGCGGCGGCAGCAGCACCAGGGGGGATATGCTTGTCTGGCCACCAGGGTGCTGGCTTGAGGGTGTTGTCGCTGGCGTGGCCTTGACTCCTCCCCCTGCTCCCCCCCCCCCCACCCTGCGCTGCAGGCGAAACCGTCTTCTTCCCCTGCTCCGCCTGGCTGGGCAAGGGCAAGGGGCACGCCGAGCGCAGCCTGCTGGGCAGCAGGGCCAACCCGCGGGAGGCGCATCGTGAGGTGGCGCGCCTGCGGCAGCAGCTGGACGCAGCCAGCAAGCAGCTGGCGGGGGCACAGGCTGAGCTGGCGGATGCCAAGGCAGCTGCGCGCGGGGCGCAGCAGGCGGGCCATGGGCACGAGGCCGAGCTGGAGGTTCGCCTGGCGACGCAGCAGGCCGAGGCGCAGCAGCTGCACAAGCAGCTGGCCGAGGCGCAGCAGCGTGCGGCGGCGGCAGAGGCTCGTGTGGAGCAGCTGCAGGGGGAGCTGAAGAGCGCAGAGGGGCTGGCAGAGGGCCTGAAGCGGGAGCAGGATGCCGGGCGGGAGCGCGCCGGCGCCGACTCGGCTCGTGCAGCGCAGCTGGCGGCGCAGCTCGGGGCGATGCAGGATGAGCTGGCGGCTGCTCAGGAGGCTGCGGCAGCGGCGGCTGCCAGGGCGCGCAAGTTTGAGGCGGAGGCGAAGCGGGGGGAGGAGGAGCTTGAGGAGCTGCGCAGCCAGAATGAGCGGTACAGGCGGGACAACAGCTCGCGGTGAGTTGCATCCTGCCACCGCGGCGGCAAGGTGCCCAGGCCCCATTAGCTGCTGCTCTGAATCCACCCCACCAACACCAGGTAGCTCACAGTATTGTGCTGGAGCGCTCACTTGCCACCTCCTTCCCCCTTGCAGGGTGGATGATGCTGAGGACCAGGTGCGGCGGCTGCGGGCCGAGGTGGCGGCCAAGGCGGCAGAGCTGCGCGAGGCGAGGGCCGCGGAGCAGGAGACATCTGACGAGTGCGAGCGGCTGAGCCGTGAGCTGGCGGCAGAGCGCCTCAGAGCCAAGGCGAGCTGCCAGAAGGCTGTTGGGAGCGTTGGAGCCGTACCGCTGTTTTGCTGTGCTGCTGGTTGCCATCTAATGCCACCATGAAGAGGGTTGAGCTGCGCTCACTCACGGGGGATGGCCGCAAGGTCATGCGGTGCAGGCCCAGCTGGAGGAGCTGCAGGAGCGGCTGGAGGAGGAGGCGGACAAGGCGGCGGCCTCGCCCCCGCACTCGCCCTCCTCCGCCAAGCTGCTGGCAGCGTACCGGGTGAGCTTGCTGCTGGAGATCATGCTCGCGCAGCGGTTCCTGCCTTCCTGTTTGAAAGGTTTCACTACAGACCATCTGCTTTGCTCAATTAAATTTCTATGGCGCAGGTGTGTATTCGCACCAGCAGCGAGCCCCCCAGCGCAGGCACCAGCGGCCCCGTGTGCCTCGAGCTGCTGGGTAGTGGCGGCAGCAGCGGCGCCATCAGCCTGGCGCGCGAGGCCTTCAGCGGCTGCTTTGCCGCGGGTGCCGCCAGCGTGTTTCAGCTGGAGGCGCCGGCTGTCGGGGAGCTGCAGCAGCTGCACATCTGGGTGGATGTAGACGGGGCAGGTGGGCTGGCCTGGCCTTGCTGCTATGCATGCGGGGAGAGTGCTTGTCCCCGTCGCGCAGCAGCGTTGGTGGGAGGGCTTGCCGCTGTGCTGCTCATATGGCCATGGGATTGGCTCCGGCGGCGTGCAGGCGCTGCGGCGGATGCCAGCTGGCACCTCGACAGCGTGGAGGTGGCCTGCGAGGGCCGCCCGCCCGCTTACTTTGTGTGCCGCAAGTGGCTGAACGCTGGCTGCGGGTACAGCGCTGAGCTGGCGGCCAGCTCCAGGAACCCTCGGCAGGAGGAAGCTGAGTACAAGGTGGGGGGCTGGGGGTGGTTGGCTTGTGGCTTGGCAGCTTGGGGTCAGCCCCTGTGCTTGGCCTGCCAGGCTGCCAGGCACCTTGCTGCTGGGACCCCGCACACGCCGCCATGCCGCGCTGTGCGCCGCAGCCGCTCGCGCGCGGTGGCACGGCACGCACCATGATGCTGTTGCACCCCTCTGCCCCCTGCGCAGGTGGTGGTGCACACCTCCAGCCTGGCGGGGTGCGGTACCGCTGGAAACGTGTTTGTGGAGCTGAAGGGCGAGCGCACGCCCAGCGGCGTGCTGACGCTGAGGAACAAGGGGGGCAGCTTCCGGCCCGGCCAGGCACGCTTCTGTGCAGGGCCCCAGAGAGGGGCGGCGCCTGGCAGCAGCGGGAGGGACGCGGCAGGGACACGTGGCTGCACAGCCTGGTGCACACCCGCCGCCGCCTGGTGCTCTTCTCCCCCACTCGCTGCAGGCGGACGAGTTTGCCTTCCGCCTGCCCAGCCTGGGGCCGCTGTGCGAGCTGCGCGTGGGGCACGAGGGGCGCCGCGAGTGGCACCTGGACCGGGTGGAGGTGGTGGACTCGGCGGCCGGCACCACCTACTTCTTCCCCTGCGAGCAGTGGGTCAGGGGCAGCGGCCCCGGCGGCTCCATGTCCCGCTCCCTGCAGCTGCGCGGCTACATGACCGACCCGCGCAGCCTGCCGGTGCAGTACCGCGTGGAGGTGGCGGTGGAGGAGGCGAGCGGGGTGCTGGGCGGCGACAGCCTGCGCCTCACGCTGTGCGGCAGCCGCGGGGAGAGCGGGGCGCAGCGCCTGGACGCGGCGCGGGCGGCGCCGGGCAGGACGCTGACGGCCATGTTTGAGGGGGCCAACGTGGGACACATGGAGCGGCTGCGCATCGGGCTGGCGCCGGGACCCGCAGGTGGGCGGGGCGCTCATGGCCGCTGCGGTGGCGGGCGCGGCTGGGCTGGGCTGCGCTGCCCTGCACTGCTCCTCTCCTTGCGCAGCGTGCTCCTTCTCGCTGCTAGGGCACCATGGCTGCACGCAAGCCGCGTCCCCCGTGCCGCTGCCCTGCTGCGTGTGCCCCTGCCGCCCCGCAGGCCAGCACTGCGGCCTGCGCGTGTCTGGGGTGGTGGTCACCAACATGCCCACCGGCGAGGCAGCCACCTTCTACTGCTCAGAGTGGCTGCGCAGCGCAGACCCCTACGATTTTGAGGTGGATGCTGCAGGGGAGCAGGTGGGAGGTGGAGGTAGGGTGCAGGGGTGGTGGCGGGCTGGCTGGGTGTCGGGGTGCGACTCTGTTGCGGCATGCATGTGCGGCTGTTCCGCCAGCTCCTGTGCCAGTCCTCGAGTCAGCGGCCTGGCGGGGCCTGCCCGGCTGCCCCCCTGCCAGCAGGAGCTGGCGTGCAGCTACCGGCTGGAGGTGCAGACGTCTGATGTGCGGCGGGCGGGCACCGCCGGCAACGTGTACGTCACCCTCGTGGGCGACGCCTGCACCATCGGTGTGCGGCGGCGGCAAGCTGGGGCTCGGCTCGTGCGTGGGTCCCATGCCCGCCAGGATGCCGGCAACACCGTCTGCAGCTGAGGGGCCGAGGCGGTGGGCCTGGGGTGCCACCTGCCACTGCTGCCTTCCTGCGGGCCGGCCGGCCTCTCCGCTCCTTGCAGGCCCCTACCAGCTGACCAACACCGAGTCGGAGCACTTCCAGCGCGACCAGCTGGACGTGTTTGAGATCGAGGGGGCGCCCGACTGCGGCCAGCTGCGCCAGATAGAGGTGCGGAGGCGGGCAGGCGGGCAGGCAGGCAGGCAGTGGCCTCAAGGGGCCTGCCGGCCTCTGCTCAGATCCGGCTCTGCATCTTGATACCTCGCCCCACTCTGGTGTAGTGGCACCTCCTCTTCTCATGAAAGCGCCATCTGACAGAGTGTTGACTGCCGCGCGCTGCCTGGGCTGCCCGCTTGTGTGCGCAGGTTCGGCACGACGGCGCGGGCCGAGGCAACGACTGGCACCTGGCCTGGGTCAAGGTCGCCAACATCACCACAGGAGCCGTGGCCATGTTCAAATGCAAGCGCTGGGTGGACCGGCGGCGGCGCGACGACCCTGGGGCTGTCGCCGCGGTGGCGGCGCTGCCGCCTGACGCCACGGCAGCCGTGGGAGGCAAGCTGAACGCCAAGGACCGGCTGCTGCTGGGCGGCAGCGCCAAGGCGGGCGCGGCGGCGGCGGCAGCCCACGCGCCGCTGGTGCAGGATGTGCGCATGTCGGCAGATCGAGGCCCTATGGAGTGGGCAGAGGGCGGGGCGGGCTCCCAGCCGCCGGCTCCACAGGCCGGCCCGGCGGGGATGCCTGGATACCGCGTGGTGTTCCACACCTCGCGCATGTGCGGCAGCGGCACCAAGGCCAGGGTGAGGCGTGTGTGGCCCCGGCAGGCGGCATGAAGGGGCGGTTTGTTCGGCAGGCGCGCAGCCGAGCTGCGCAGCCCTGTGGGAGGGAGCCTCATGCCCCACCCCACCCTGCCCTGCCCTGCAAAGTCCCACCCATCGTTGGCGCCGCCGCCGCCCTCTGCACGCCGCAGGTCCACTTTGAGCTGACCGGCGCCGGCGGCAGCAGCGGCGTGCTGCACCCTGCGGGGACCACCAAGTCGTTTGGGGCGGGGCGGGTGGACATCTTTGAGTTCCCCCACCTGGGCGCGCTGGGCGAGCTGCAGTCGGCGCGCGTCGGCACCGACGGCTCCGGATTCTTTCCAGCCTGGCACCTGCAGCTGCTGGTGGTCACCCACCTGCCCACCGGCCGCGTGTGGCAGTTCAGGTGGGGCACGGCTGGCGGCGGCGGCAGGCGGCGGCGGCGGCAGCCCACCACCTGCACCATGGGCCGCCCTGTTCAGTCGCTGCAAAGGGGCATGCTTGGCTATGCGTGTTCCATGGCCCTGCTCCCATGCCTGCCAGTCCTGCCTGCCTGCCTGCCAGTCCTGCCTGCCTGCCAACCCCCTGCCACCCCCCTGCCGTGTCCCCTGCCCCCACCCGTGCACCTACTCAGCTGCTTCAACTGGATCGACAAGAAAGTCAACTACTCCCGCTGGCTCACACTGGACAGCACCCAGCAGGGAGCCTATGGCGTCGCCGCCGGCTCCAGCACCAAGCTCGCCGCCTGGCAGTTCAGCCACAAGCCGCCCGCACTGGTGGCCACCTCCCCTGGCGGCAGCGCCGCACCCGGCAGCCATGCCCACTACCCGCCGCAGCACCACCGCGGCGCCGGCGCCCCCACCTCCCATTACAGCCCCCACCAGCGGCCGGGGAGCCCCCAGGGGGGCAGCCCGCTGCGGTTCAAGGCCCACCACCCGCAACAGCAGCAGACGGGTGCGGCGAGCCGGCCCGGCAGCCCGGGTCGGGTGCTGGTTCAGGGGCGGCAGCAGTGGGGCGGCGGCAGCCCGATGTCGCCACACACGATGGCGCGCAGCGGCGGCGGCAGCCTGCCCGGGTCTCCGCTGATTGGCGCCCGGCGGCCCGGCAGCGGGCGATAGTGGCGAGGGCAGTGCAGGGCCTGCGGCACAGGAAACTGACTGGTAACAACACGCACGCTGGTTTGACTTGACTGGACTAAAATGGGGGTGGGACGGAAGCTTGTAAGGATGAATGTGACACTGGAGGCTGCCTGTTACACTGAATTTCAATCCTGGGCCAGCGAGCAGGCTAAAGAACGTCAATGAAAGCAGGCGCAGGCGCAGCACACAAATGCAGCAGCGATGCACAGTGCGGCTGAGCCGACGGGTCCTCGTGCACCCAGCAGGGCAGCCCCTGTTCTGGCAAGGGGGTCAGTTCAGAAGGTGACGTTGAAGTTGCGCTTGAGCAGGGAGCGCATGGACCTGCGGGGGCGCACCGCCTCGAGCGTGAAGTCGTCTGGCTGCACCCCCGCCACCAGCATGCGCCCCATGATCTCCCCCGCCCGCTCCCCATCGTTGTGCTTGGTGCAGCACTCCAGCAGCGCGTTGTAGGTGACTGGGCAGGGGGGAGGGAGGCAGGGAGGCGTGGCGATGGGGGCGCAGGGGTGGCCTCCAGGCCAGAAAGCACGGCAGCATTGCAGGCAGGCCAGGCAGCGCCCCCCACCCGCCAACCCCCGCTCACCGATGCTGGGCTGGATGCCGTGCTGTTGCTCCATCTGCTGCAGCGTCGAGCTGATCTCGTTCCATTGCGGCCGCTCGCTGGCGGCGCCGTAGCCACGCAGCATGACCGCAAACACCACCTCGTCCGGGGCCAGCAGGCCGTCAAACAGCTCCGCAAACACAGACCTGGCCATCTCCATCTTGCCGTTGCGGCAGCAGGCGTCCAGCAGCGCGGTGGCGGCCAGCGTGTCGGGCTGCATGCCAGGGTGGCGGCGAACAGGCGGGTGCCATGGGAGTGCGCGCGACGGGCCCCTTCTGGAGCGAGCCCGGCGGGCGCGCTCCCGCCGGTGCTGGTGCTGACTGCTCGATTGCAACCCAAGCGCTGCAAAGAGCGTGGCCGGGTCTGTTTGCCTGCATACCTGTATGCCCAGCTTGGCCATGTTGGCCAGCTCAGCAACCGCCTCGCGCGGCTTGCCCTGCCGCCCGAGCTGCTTGATGCGCCGCGTGGTTTCGGCCCGCACCTGCCCTTCCGACTGCGGCAGGGGCGGCGGCGGCAGCAGGGGAGCGGGCGTTGCTCAAACGGATGAATTGAGCTTCAACTGCGGATAGGACAAGCACGGCCAGCTGCAGTCCCTGAGCCAGCAAAGGCACGCACCAGAGCCGCCGCCGACAAGGCTGCCGCCGCCGCCCCCACTGCTCGTTGCCGCCGAGAGTGGGGCAGCCGTGTGGTGAATGCTGCATGGGGCGAGGGCCTCCTCACTGCTGCTGCCTGACACGGGCTGGACACACATTGTGCGCCACAGAAAGCCATTGCACCCCTGCAACACCTTTCGCTGTGGCGTTGTGGGCCTGCAACAAGCTGGGCAGCCTCTGTGGGAGTGCGACGATCGCCTGCAAGCGGCGAAACGCGCCTTTTCCCAGCACTCCAAGCTGGCGCCTGAGTTGGCCACCTGGACGAACGTTTGGACGCTTCTAAAGCGACCACGGAAGTCTGCCGTTGCCAATTGTGCTCAGAAGCGCTCCCCCTGTGGTCCTGAGCTCATGGGCTGCAAACCCATATGCTGATATAGCGGTGCACAGGCTTGGGCGCCTTCGATCATGGCCAGCCTGGCTGAGCGCAGCAAGGACTTGTTTAGGCGCTACGGCAAAATAGCGCTGGGTGTGCACCTCACGGTCTACGCAGGCTTTTTCACTGGTGCGAGCCCAACCTGAACTGGCGCTGACCTCATCCTTCCCTGGGGACGGAGGGTAACTGCGTGCGGCAGCGGCGCTGCTGCGCCTCTCGCCGGCCGGCGCCGCTCGCCGCCAGTGCCGCCGGCGCCGACGCCCCGCACCGTGCAGAGAGCCAACCTGCACGACGCTGCTTTTGCAGGCTGCTATGTTGCCATAGAGAATCATGTCGATGTGAAGGGCCCGCTGCAGAAGATTGGGCTCCTGTCCAGTGAGCTGCTGCCGCTGTCGCGAGGCAACCCGTTGCGGTCAATGCCAGGCTCCCTCGACACCTGCCTGCATTAGCACTGGTGCGACATAAGCTGGATGAATGATCGTTGGGCCCCTGTCATCCTGCTGCAGGCTCTGCAGGCAAGGAGTACGATGACACCGCGGAGCAGGCCAGCGAGGACAAGGGCTGGCTGGACAAGTTGCTGACGGGGAGCAGCTCTAGCCTCGCCCTTGCCTTCCTCTGCAACAAGGCGCTCTTCCCCGTCCGCACGCCCATCACGCTCGCCTTGACACCCGCAGTGGCACGGTGAGCCTGGGGAGCACAATGGTGCTGCATTGGCTGGCCACCTTATGCTTGCTGCTGCCTCGCGTTTGTACCCCTGTTTGGCTTGATGGCGGTGCTCCCTGTTGCACCTCCCTGTGCAGGTTGCTTCGCTACCGTGCATCCAAGATGCCCTTGCCCTGAGGCAGCCAATGAGGCCTCGCACTCTGCAGGCAGCGACCAGCGTTGCAAGTCTGCAGGAGAGCGGTGCTGATTGGTTGCATACCTGTTGTACCCCTGTTACATTGTCTTGTTGCTCTTTTTCTGCTCCAAACATTTGGTTCTCGCCATCCATCAACCCAATTTTTGTCTCCACCAGCTGGCCTTTGTAATGCACAGCGCCCACGGGCGGGGGCTACAGCGGCGGTGTGCTGCGCATGCCTTGATTGCGCAACCCCAGCACAGCATAAGCTATGTAAGCTCCGTACACCACACAGGTGTTGAACTGCATCCCTGAGCAGCCTCCCCAAGCCAGCCCTCACCATCATCTGGTCAGCGCACGGCCCTAGACCCTCTGCTGCTGCCAGGCAGCAGTGGTCACGGTGTGGCGCTGATGCTCGAGCGTAAAGCCGAAGCGGACGCTCTCGGTCACAAGGTGATCATGCAGTGTGTGCTCATTCAGAGAGCTGCCTGGGTGTGGCACCCACCTTTGCGTCTTGCAGCGATCAACGCATCCGGATTGGCAACAGGCATGTGAGCAGAGCCGGTCCCCAGCCCGCCCCACATCCCGCCGCCGCCGCTGGACCGAGCGTTACTGAGCTTCCGTGCTTGACCCATCTGCCGCACGGACCGCAGTCCGCCATGATGAATGGCACTGCTGGCGACAGGAAGGCCACCTTCGCCCGAGACCTGGCAGCCCTCAACTCCCAGTTTGCTGCGTGAGTCGCGCCGTCGGCAAGGCCGCCTTGCTGGGCTGCATGCCGGGAGCGCGTCGCTTCATGTTGTATGTTGCGCTCCAAGTCTGGGGTCAGTGGGCAGCTCATGCACCGGCGTAGTTTCCATGCCATCGTGCGGCGCTCGCTTGGGCGTCGGTGCCACCCCTGCCGGCTGCTGCCCCTCCGTGGTGCAGCTGGGTGGCGGAGCAGAGCAGGGCTGCTCCCAAAGAGCTCTGGACTGATGGCGTGGAGGATTACCTGCAGTACGCCAAGCAGCTTCTGGCCGACTTCAAGGATGTACTGGAGGACAGCGGCAAGCCAGCGGCGGCGGCGGGCGGCACCGGCGCAGGCGTCTTTGGGTTCGGGGCGTCCGCACCAGCAGCCGGCGCACCAGCAGCTGGCAGCAGCAAGCCGCCGCTGGCCCCCGGCGGCCTGTTTGGCGGCAGCAGCACTGGCGGGGCAGCAGCCCCCGCCTCAATCTTTGGCGCCCTGCCCTCCACCGGCGGCGCCTTTGCCCTGGGCGGCAGCGCGCCCGCCTTTGGCGGCTTTGGCAGCGGCGCTGGCAGCGCGGCCAACAGCGGCGGCAGCGGCCTGTTTGCTGTGCCCAGCACCGGCACGCTGGGCAGCAGCCTCAACACGGGGGCGGCGGCGGCGGAGGAGGATGAGGAGGGGGACGAGGGGGAGCAGGATGCGGAGCCCTCGGTGGGTTCCCTCCCGCAGCAGCTGCGCCTGTGTTGGTGGTGACCGCACGTGGTGCATGCATGCCACGCTGGCTTCGGCCGAGCTATCACCACTCGTCAGAGCCTGGCTCTGCGGCCACACACCTTCCTCCACCTCCACCTGCACCTTCCTGCCGCCGCCTCTGCCCTCGCCCCGTGCCCTGCCCCCTGTAGGTCCAGCTGGAGGCTGCAGAGGGGACCGAGATGCTGGCCAAGCATCGGGTGAAGCTGATGAGCATGCAGAACAACAAGTGGACGGACAGGGGGCTGGGCACGCTGACGCTGCGGCGCTCCACCGGGGACGACGCCGCCAGCAAGCGACCCTACTTTGTGTACACCACAGACTCGGGTGAGGCGGGGCGCCGGGCGGGGCGCCGGGCAGGGCAGAAGGCCGGATTCGAGTTTCCAGCTTGTGCAGCAGCAGGTGTCATGCGCTGTGGGTCGACACCCTGTGGCTTGGCCTCGCGGCGGTGCCCCTGCTTATGCTGGCACTGGGCCCCAACCCACCCCTGCATGCCTGCCACCCTCTCTCCCCTCAGGTCGAGTGCTGATCAACGCGCCGCTGGTGCCAAACCTGAAGCCCACCATCAACCCCAAGACCCCCGCCAACATTGTCATGCTCCTCTTCTCTACTGTGGACGGCGTGGAGGACCGCGGCATGCACGTGTTCAGGTGAGGCGTGTTGAGCTCCTCATTCTCCAAGCAGCACATGGTGCATGAGGCTCCAGGCGCCAGCTCTGCTCGTGCAGCCCGCCATGAATCGACGGTTCTGCCTTTGCCCGCGGGCATGGCGCAGGTGTGAGAGCGCTGACGTGGCCAAGCAGCTGCTGAAAACCATCACAGAGCTCGCTTGAATGACCGACGGCGATGCTGCAAGCAGCCGCCCCACCAGCAGAGCCACGGTGGTCCGATGTACCATTCTTGAGCTGTCTGCTGCTGCATGCAAATTGTGATGCGGCCTAACAAGTGCAAGTGGATGGGTGGATATGGTGGATCACAGAGGGCAGCACACGGGGGGAAGGGGGCGCATGTGCCAAAGTAGGGCCGCCCTCGCGCGGCATGAAGGGTATCAGGTCAAACGGTAATCTTGCATGGGACCGGTAACGCAAGTATGGACGTCAGTGTGAGGTGTGCGGTGCACCCGCAATGTTGGATGCTCATTCCCGTGGGGTCACTTGATGGTCACGTGCCAAACAATACGCAATGTGCGGGCCTGGCTCATTTGCTCTCTCATTGTCCATCTATCTGATGTGGTCTGATCAGAAGCCAGATGCCACCGTGTAGCGCATATCCATCGTGGTGCAGGTGACAGCCGAGAGCAGGCCATCCTGCACTGACGTCTTGTACACAAACTGCGCGGGAAGGAGGCGGGCAGGAGCGGCGGCTAGGGATCAGATTAACTGACAAAGGCGGGGGCGGCTGCCGTTCGGGGACGCCAGCGCAGAGCTGAGCTGGCATGAGGCGCACCTGGTGCCAGGCATTGCCCTGGTTGTCGCGCAGGACGGGGAAGGCGCACAGGGCGCCGCCATCCATCATGTATGGCAGGTGGTCCTGCAGTGGGCAGGGGATGTGCAACATGCTTGTGGCAGCGGCAGCCTTGCCATCTGCCACCCCACATCTGCCGCACAAGCGCACAAGCCTGCTGCCTCGCAAGCCACCCGTGCTGCGCACCTCCTGCTCCTCAAGCTCCACGACTTCGATGGTCCAGCCTGGGGGTGGTACCACGCCCTCCAGGTTGGCGGTCCAGTCAGCATCGTCCTCCATGGGGAAGCTGGCGGTCTGCGGTGTGGAGGCAGCGGCATCCGCACGTGGCGGCTGAGCACGCGGGAGAAGCTCCCAGGGTGGGAAGTAGGCACAGCAAACCGGCGGGTGGCGGGTGCAGCGTGTTGGCACCGCACCTGCAGCGCGTACTGGTTGCCCCACTCATCGGTCATGACAGCCATCCAGCTGTTGTTGTAGTTGTACTGCAGTACGGCAGGGGCAGGGGTGCTGGTTAGCTGGTGTGTGTGAAGCATCCCCCACATGCATGAGCGCCCCCCGCGTCAGCGATGGTCGACCACTGGGCACACGCAGGCCAGCGCAGCTGCCCCCCGCATGGCGATGCCCACCATTTTGCACTGGTTGGTCAGGGTCACAGTGACGTTGCCCGCAGGGGGCGCCCCAGCCTCCGAGTCAATGAGGCCCTGCAAGGGGCAGACGGCACGGTTGCACAGCAGCGTGGGGCCAGTTTCCCTTGCCAAGTGAGCCACAGGTTGCTGCCCGCCTGGGTGTACCGACCTCGACAGGGTAGCTTGCAATGCACTCCAGCCCCGCAATCTCCAGCCAGCTCTCGTTGAAGTTATCCAAGTACACCAGGCAGTCCTGCCCTGCAAAACCATCCATTGTACACCAGGCAGTCCTCATGCGGCCCCTTCAACGCAGCTGAAACCACTCCCTGGCCCTCCTTCCACGGAGCAGCAGCCCACCCACCCTCTGTGCAATCTTCGGGTGCGGATGGGGAGCGGGCGAAGCAGATGCCCTCAAACGCGGGCGCCGACCAGCGCTCGCCAGTCTGGGCGGAGTAGGGGAAGGGCAGCGGGTCGGGCATGTCTGCTGAGGTGTAGCCAGGCGTGGTGCTGGCGTATTGCAGATACTCCTCAACCTGCAGCGGCGGAGCAATTGTCAGGATGGTGCTGAGGCCTGCGAACCTTGGGCTGGCAATAAGTAGCGGGCACAAGCCCCCACTGCTGCCTCACGTCTGTGATCTCCACCCAGCTGGAGCTCAGGCCGCCGGCGCTGTATGTGCAGTTCTGGCGTGCTGGTCCATCAGTGGGACCAGGTGGCGGCAGCTCGTAAACGTTGGTCTTCATGTCGTCCCCAGAGGGCATCTCGACGCCGGTCACACCTCCTGCCGCCGCCGCCAGCAGGGCGGTGCCCAGGGCAAAGCAGAGGGCAGCGCGGGGGAGCATGGCACGTTAACGGTGGTGAGGGGCGGGCCTCTTGGTAGCCGAACTTGGAGCGCAGGGCGCGGGGGGGGGGGGGGGAGGGGGACCCTGGAGACGACAGCGGCGACTACCGGAGTGTCGGAATACCTGGCCTTTGCAGCGACGCAATTATCGTTTTCACGCAAAGGGCAGCCTTGGGAACGGCATCCTTACGCGACTTTCTTCACGCTTGTTCGCAGCGAACATTCACCTTAGATGATGCTGCCGCGGCGGCGGTATCTGCACGCCACACACTCACCCTCATCTCTCTCCCTCAGGCCTGGGATTGCACAAGCTCCCCTTTGCCATCATTCCAGCAAACATGCTACCTCTCCTGCAGCTGCCGCTGCCTGCCTTGACGACACGAGCAGCGCGCAGGCGCCCACCCGCTTGCCCGCCCTTACCTTCCCTCCCCCACACTTCTGTACAGCATTCATCGAACGCTGTGCTGTGTTCCTTGATTCACTCAATTGAAAGGCAGTACTAGGCCACCAGCCCGTCACTGGTTCTTGAGCACGCGTGCAAAACCCTTGGCGCTGCTCTGGTAACTGGCAAACACCAGCATGGAGGCCACCTGGACGTGCAGCGGCCGCGTGGCGGCATACAACACATTGTCCGCAATGTCGTCCGCGCTCAGCGGCTGGAAGCCCTCGTACACGGCATCCGCCCTGGCCTCGTCCCCCTTGAAGCGCACCACGCTGCACGGAAGGGGCGCGCATGCCGTTGTGCCAGCAGCTGCCTGCGCCATGCATGGCCAGGCATCCACGGCCGCACAGCAGCGGCACGCTGCAGCAACGGCTGGCTGGCCCACCTGAACTCGGTTTTGACGGCGCCAGGCTGGATGGATGTCACACGGATGTTGGTTCCCACCAGGTCGTGTCGAGCTGCACACAGCAGCCAGGCAGACCTTGCTGCAGCTCTCCTTGGAGGAGAGCACAAGTGAAGCGACAAAGGCCTTTCGGCCAGCGACCGCATCCTACTCTCAGGCTCACCTGCATTCGCAAACGCCTCAACTGCGTGCTTGGAGGGGCAGTAGCCTGCGCCGCCCGCGTATGCCTCCACGGCAGCAATGCTGCAGCAAGGAGCATGTCATGCATGCAAACAAAGATGGCTAGCCAGCAGCCGGGACAAGTTGCGCCTGGGATTCGCTTGTAGGTAGCACGTAACGCAGCCCAGACGGCAGGCTGCATCCCAAGTCACTCCTCCATGCCAGCCGGCCAGCCGGCCAACCCTCATGCCACTGCACCATCCTCTCACACCCTCCTCTGGGTGGCAGCAGGCGCCCCCCCGCCCCCACCAATAAGAGCCAGCAGATCGGCGGCACTCGCAGGCGGCACTGCTAGCCTGCCTGCCGGCTGCATCCTGCATGCACTATGCGCCACAGCCCCAGCCCACGCGCTCACAGGCACCCACTGGCTGTGTGCACCACCACCCCCAACCAGCCCGGCGCTCACCCCAGGATGGGGCCCCTGGAAGCGCGGGCTGGACCAGCTGCACCGAGGGGCGGGGTAGAAAGGGTGGGAGCGGGCGGCTTTGAACACGATGTGCATCTGCACGCTGGCTGC